ACAGGAGTTATGAATTCCCGCTCAAACAGTTATTTGCCGCAAGGGGGGGGGGGACGGGTCCTCGTCTTGCCACCTATCTTCCTGCCGCCTGTACACTTAGCAATTTGAATGCACCATGTCCAAATTACTAGTTTCACGCACCTCCCGCCCCACTTTGGGGGAGCCTAGTCTTGTCACCTATCATCGGTGCTCTCACAGTGTCGCCTGTACTCTACTCAATTTAATTGCTCTAGGTTCATGGGAGAGGGAGTTATGAATTTCCGCTCAACATGCATTTCGTGCGGACTCCGCTTCAGTCCGCTAAGTGTCCCAACAGCACACCTAGCGGATTATATAAGTAGGATAGCGAAGATGTCAGCGCTCAGAACTCACCTTTCACTTATGCATGGAATCTGTAGGCTTCACATTCCCTTTCTCACTAATTACCATGGTTGAAATCAGCGATGGAGTGAAGGTGACTGCGAATGTCTATTGTGTTTTAGGAACAAACAGCATCAAAATAAACTCCTATCCTTCATAATCGTTGCAGGCTACGCTTCTTTGCACCCAGATGTCATGCCAGAATGGCTCTCGTCTGGTGTATTTGTTACATAAATCACGGTCAACATCAGAGATGTTCTTGACGGCATCAACGTTGTGCACTACATGGCGGCAAAGAAACGCGTTCTGTCATCACGAGAAGTCAACTTCATCTCGAAGGCGGAGAATCACAGGCTCGTTTTATCGTTGTTGTGTGAATAGCTCCTTCTAGTTTCATACTGCAGGCGTACCTGCCGATCGTGGAGGAAGCGCTATTGAAGACCTTGTCGTCCCTCGTATTGTCACACCATCTCGAACTTCTTCTATTGGATCTGAACAATGGACACAAGGACTTGATGCTGTAAATATTATATATAATATATATCAAATATATGTGAATACAACAGGGAAATAACTTTTTACCCTCAGGCGAGCATGAGCTTGGCTTTGGACGAGTTTTTTCGGCGAAAAGCTGTGAGAGATCTTGCCACTGAAAACGGTCTCAACAACAAGTTATACGTCACTGCCTATAGGTCATTTCGGGAATATTGCCTCCGTGAAAAAGTGAGTTCAGTTTTCCTGTCGAAATTCCACAATGTTCAATTCAGTATATTCCAAGGGAGGAGTTGAACCAAGTCTGCTAGTACTCTTCCAAGATATTATCAAAGAAGGTCACGATGTTGAATGCCTCTTCCCATTTTTTCTCGCTCATGCACGTAAAGTGAGTACCACGATTGTTTCTACTGCTGAATAGGTAGTTATCGCTTTATTTTATCTCTAATAATAATTTTTTCGTAAGCGTTACTTTAGCGCTTCCTTATTTGGTGAATTTCTTTCCGTGTAATTCTAGGTTTTCCCCCATTTGGAAGCTATGGATGATTTGCGAATGATTTCCGATTTAACACAACCACACAACTGGTATCCTGATGCTCGCACTGTTCAACGGAAAGTAATTTTCCACGCTGGACCAACAAACTCTGGAAAGACGTACCATGCCTTGAAACGGTGCGAATACAAGGAGTAGCCGTACGCTATTCTTTTCAATAGGGGATTTCCCATTCTGGAACCCTTGCCATCCTTGTCATTCGCCTTTTGCGTCGTTTTACCCCACTACCTCTGATGCCCTTAGAACTTGTAAAAAAGAGCGTGATTATGTGATTATGAGCGTCATTCAGCGTTGAAGAAGTTCGGTTTGTCATTGCCTTCCACCCTGGTCAGGGATAAGGGCAGTGTCAACTGGTTTTTTACGCTTGTGTATAAATGTGGAAGACGTTTATAAGACAGTGAAAGGAAAATGTATTTCACTTGTCTAGAAGTAGACGGAGAGAAGCGTCTTCTTAGAGAATTCGTCGGAGTTGCCCTCATAATTGGGGTCCGATGTTCACATTGTAGAGGAAAGATCGTAGTCGACGACGTCAGTGTTCTTGAATGGTGTCGCTGGAAAAACGCGGTCTCCAGGGAATTGAGATGCACCCAACAAGTGTTCAGAGTTTTACGACGTTGTTTGTGTTGTTTCAAACGACCGACCGCATTGCTGACCGCGCGTTGACAACGCAGGACAGATTGGAATCAGGGCCTCATGAGTGGTAACAATCCGTGTCCTACGTGTCAACGCTTGGCCAACATCGCGATCGGTCGGTCGGTCGTCGGTTGAAACAACGCGTGTCGTTAAACACTGAAAGCACCTTGTGGTAATCCATATAAGATGGATACTGGGTCGCAATGATCATACTTAACGAGATATATACCGCCCTAAGTGTTTTCAAAAACTAATCTCTATCTCATCTTACAAATCTGCCAAACGATTATGGAAACTAAGTTGCGGAACCGTTTTCCTCTGTGTCATACCAGTTTGTTACACACGTAAGCGAGTCGTGTAGGAGCCAAATCGTGTAGTGATGGCTGGCGCATTAGGTAATCCGGCGGACCTAGGAGGGGAATGGTTTTCATTAAACGTTTCCCGAACGCTAGCAAATTGCTTATACGCTGCATATCGACTGTCTACAGCCCTCCCACACATTTGAGAAATGCTGGAATCTTCTTCTTATTATTCTTCAGCGTCTGTCCTGCTTGTAGAGGGGTCCGCTTTTTGATCTGTTGACGCCACTCCTCCCGAATAAATGCTTCTATTGAAGATACTTCTACCGAACAAATGCTTCATCGAGGTGGATGTTAACCGTTTTCACGTCTTCGTGCAACGTCGCAGCGTGGCTAAGACGTTCTCTGAACCACTTTCCGGACAAGTCAAGATTGAGACCGACCTTACGGACACTCTCATCGTTGCACGAACAACATGAGTATACCACCGAAAACGGGCTTCGCGCATTTTATCGGCAATCTACAATCTATCAATCTTTCTACACCGAATTGCTCCCTGATGAAGTCGTTACTTATGCGGTCTAATCGTGTTGCTCCGGCTGTCCAGCGCGCAATCTTGGAATTCATCACACTAAATGTGCTTCAACCTGTTCGGCCGCAGGCCACCACTCAGCGCCGTAAATCGCGACGGGCCGGATGTCGGTTCGACAGGTCTTGGATTTGAGACGCTCATGCATGTTCCTATCGCAGAGTCTCCGGTTATTGGGCGCCACTTCATGTAAATGTTGTCTGTGTAAGCTGAGTACCACTGATCTTGATAGAACGAGACTCGCTCGGATCGATGGTCTAGCACTCAGCCTCTTTGACATTTCGCCTAAACGCGAACATAACCAGACGGTCGCTCCAGGTTTGCACCTGTTGCTCAAGCGCGTTCTTGTCTTTGCTGGCGGTCATCACGCCATCGGCATGAAGGAGCGTCCACGGAGCCGGCTTCTGGAGATCGCTTGTAGCGGCATCTATGACCACAACAAAAAGTTGCGAGCATAACGCAAAGCCTTGGTGTACTCCAACGAAGATGGAAAGATCCGTCGATGTGCTCGCTGCCATTCGGAGACATACCATAGAACGCCTCGTGGAATGCGATCGGAAGTCTTCACCAAATCTAAAAGGGCGAGATGTGCCAGTTTTCTCGTGATGCTTTTCTGGTAGAAGGCGAGTGGCTAGAAGCTTCGAAAACCATTCTGAGAGGAGTCTTTTTCTTGAATCTGGTGCTTCAGTAAGGGCATATAGTAGAAGCCAGGAGATCCAAGGCAGTTAACGAAAAATTTTTGATTTGTCTGCTCCTACTTCGTCAGCATGCTGCTGTACCACTGACACTGCTCCGGAATTTTCTAAAAAAAACTTCCAGTGGTTGCTACGAGTCGACGCATGGCCGTGCCATAATTTTCTTCCAGCAAAAGACGTTATCATTCGGAAGTAATGGCACATTGCAAATATGCTGGAAAAATTTTTCAGAACTTTTTCATTTCAGTAAGTGGGTAAAGTGGGTAAAGTCAGTGGAAGAGGAGGGAAGTGGAAAATACGCGAAATCGCTGCTGTCTTCTGTGAATACTTACAAAACCAGCGTTGAATGCCAATCAGTATTGACGGATTATTAGTGCCGATTAAAACGATCGCCACTACGGGTTGGCTTGGCTTCTTTTTAAGGATAAGGGGCACAGTAGCCCACCGAAAAGGAAATCTCACTATGTAAAGAATGGGTACGGCGCTGCGGTTCACCTTTCTAACAAGTGTTTGATCGTTTTGATCGCTGTTAATTTGTTCGCGTTTAGTTTTGGAGATGCAAAAAGCGGAGTATATTGTGGACCTTTGAAGCTACTTGCCTCAGAAGTGTTTACAAGAAGCAACCAATTGGGGATCAAATGCGATCTAGTCACTGGTGAAGAGAGAAGGTGGTTCGAAGACTTTGTAGATGTCTTTGCTTTAATTCCTACATACATTGCTCTTACGGAATGAACAGCTTTGCAGATATGCTATTGACAACTTCCACCCAAGTGCACATCTTTCTTCGACGGTTGAAATGTTGTCTACGCAAATGAGAGTAGAGGTAATATTATGACTGAGCACCTAACTGAAGCTCACGGCATACAGTTTTTATTTTGGTTCAACCTGCCACAAATATAAAATATAAAAGCTTCGACTACCAACATTTTGGCGACGGTCAGGGGATCTACCGTTTCGTTATAGCTTTCCAGCGCTAATGCTTTACTGTAACCGTAACTGGAAAGACAGTGACTTTTCATACGTTCTACGCCCACAAATCAGCGCTTTATACAAGCTTTGTTGATATACAAGGGTTTTATGAAGGAACCAGTCTGTCTGGACGGCGTGTTCTTCCTTTTCGTCACAAAATCTGATGCTTGGCTCGAGATAAGCATCATATCCTTATGATCTTCGTTATTTTCAGTTTCGCTCTCCATACACTTCAATGCTGTCCGCCATCGTAAAGTTGGTAATATAGGAAACCCGTAAAAAAGGGTCCATTGATAAAGAACATCTGATAAAGGTGCTATCATCACTCAGAACATCATATTGATTGTCTAACGGTTTTGTTTTTTAAGGGTATTTATTTCTATGACCGCAATGTTCGAGACTTCCAATCAAAGGCGTAAGCAACGACTTTAACTGAATACCGTTTGCACTACCCTGTTAGTCCTGTGTCAATATTCGTGTACAGGAAACTATCATTTGTTTCAAAAAGGAGTGGAGAGTTAGACTTACTACAACTTACAAAGAAGGAGGGAAGCTTTCTCTTTTAACAAACCTTGACATTGAAACCGCTGACTTTATACTTAGCGAGAGCATCTCGTTCTCTGAAGTGCACTCCGAGTTTTTTTACACTTCACATTCCTGTCAAGGCTTGGCACCGATGACAAATATTGTCGAAACTGGGTTCAACCACAACTTTCAACACGCAAATTTCGGGTTATCAGGCTTGTGAGAGAGTCATCGTTCCACGTTTTGTAGATGCGGCTGAATTAGATACGGTTCAAATTCATGAATGCCGCGAAGCGAGCACAGCCTTCGCTTCCCGATCAGTCCGATGATTTTGACCTCGACATCTCGACCATCACCGCTTCGTTTTCAAAAAAAAAACGCTCGCTAATGCGAAGTTTGGCGGCTTGAGTGCGCTGTTCTTAGCTCACCTCTCATAATGTGAGGCGAGTGGCGGCAAGTGGCTCTAAGACTCCAGCAGCTCCTTGTTAAATGTTGTAATTTTCTTTGTTTCACCACGACCCCTTATGCCCACCCTTATTAACTGTGTTTACACGTTAAAGTCGATGTGCAACATTTGTTATCGGTTATAGCTGAATATGTAAACTATCTACATTTTGTCCGTGTTCTACAACTATTCACGAGAGACTTCTCTACAGGGCTCGCAGAACGTTAGATGAGAAAGGGAAGCTATGTCTTTTGAAGGGTTTCAATTTCTGGTTTCCAGTTACGTTTAGTTTGATCACGTTATAAAGGGACCAGTCGGTTCACCCGGCTGACTCTGGGCTTTCCTCTTCCTATGATAAAGTTTTAGGAATCGGCGAACTGGCTCACTAATTCTTCGTGAGAAATGGCACGATTTCGAACGCGAAATTAGACAGAGGTCTAACAGGGCGTGCAAAAGGTATTCGAAATGCGCCGATGCTCATGCCTATGATTAGAAGTCTCAATCTGTTGCTGTTCATCTCAAAGATAAAGATCCGTTGAAGGTTCAGCTGATGGGCAACAAAAGCCTCGAAAGGTACTACCGAATGAATGAATGAAAGAAATGTTGCCGAGTCATAATAACACCATTGTCAAATGTCTTAATCAGCGGAGTTTCCATTTTCTGCGGATATATTACTAGACCTGTCGGATCGCCCGGCTTATGCCGGACCTAATTTCTCTTTTTTACAAGTAAGTAGAAAATGTAGTTAGGAAGGGGCAGGGTATCGTTTTTATTCAACGCTGTAGACTTCAGTGCAGAGAAGTACCGGTAGCCAACGTTCCCAGTGCTACGAGTCGATTCTGGGCGGAAGAATTAGTTTTCACTTAAGCCTCAAGAAGGGTGGGGTGGGACGGTTACCTCGTGCAAAAAGCTAGGATGGGGTATATCGAATTACTCATCGACCCCGGTGCTCCTTTCCTCCTGAAGCTCAGGTGCTAATCTCCTCATCATCTCAATTACCACCTTCATTCTTGTATAGACATACATAGCAATATGCCAGTACAGATAGAAATCACAGTTCTGGAGTACCCACTCCGTTTCACATTACTCACTTCACTCCGCAGCACTCACTCCACTTCATTGACCTATCCACTAATTTACTGCTTTACGTATGACAAGGATATGTGGAAATCTAGCTGGGTTTTCTTATCTCTACCTTCATCGTGATCATTTTGCGGACGGAGACCGATAAACCGACATACCGACAAACCGACTCATCAAGTTACTGCTTCATAAAAAAAGAGATAAGAGGAACTCGCGAGACATTCTCTCCTATACAGATCCCTCCAAGTGCAAATTCTGCTGCACTTGATTTCGAAACCTTCCGTACTGTCGGGGGTGAACTTGTACATATGAAACGGAGAAATCGAAAAAAATTTATATGAATGTTAATATAAAAGTTGAGTAAATCAAAGGACGTATACGGGGTTATTGAAGGTAATGAATTTAATGGTGGCCTGAGAGATATCTGCTTGGCTGCTTTTGCTGTAAATATCAAACTTGAGGGTAATCTTGTAATTATGAAACGCACCCATACATAGTCCGATGTTAGTGCAAATCGAAAGTTGTCTTGTCTGTCGAAAGTTGTCTACTTCACAGTTTGAAGTACCCTGAGGTGAGGGTGGTCCAGATGTAAAGATGAGCTGCTTTCATAGTCCGCCGGCCGGCCGGACGGCGTGCCACGAGACAATGCTAGAGGGGAGGAGGGCGGCGGGCGGTCGGTCGAAGGGATGAAAACAAAGAAGAACATGATCAAAAACCAAACAACCAGGGGCTAGTACAAATGGTTTTTGATCTTGTCTCTCCTTGTTTACAGCCCTTCGAGGGGCTGACCGACCCTCTGCCGCCCTCCTCCCCTCTAGTACTGTCTCGTGGCACGGCGGCCGGCCTGCCGGCGGACTATGAAAGCAGCCATGGGAGTGTGTTTGCCTGCCACGCGTTTATTGGATATTGCTTCTTGGTATGTATTTATGTACGTATATGTCTACGTGTGAGTTTACGTTTACGTATATTTATAAGTAGAATAGTATTTATAAGTAGTATTTTTTGAAGTAGAATAACTTACGAGGAATCGTTTGAGCACAATAGTAAATTAAAACAACTTGTGAAAGACAGTTCCTTGTGCTTAGGTTGCTGTCATCGATGAAATTCAAATGCTTCGTGACGAGCAGCGCGGATGGGCCTGGACACGAGCATTACTTGGTGTGGCCGCAGACGAAGTACGTATCATTGTTGCGTTTTTGTGTGCTTGTTTTTCCCTTACTTATTCTAGGTGCATCTTTGTGGTGAACCGTCTGCTATCAATATAGTAAAGAAGCTGCTTGAGCCAATTGGAGAGCATGTCGAGGTTGGTTATTTTGGTCATTTCTGGATTTTTTCCCTACTTCTATAAGTGCATACGCTTGAATACGCTTCGGGTACGTTTGAGAACTGAGCATGTTGTGTCGTGTTTTCTTTGCTATTCGGTATTCTCTGTCATACTGGAATTGCTCGTTTTGGACAATCTTTATCTTCAAGGGCTTAGAACTGTAGCTTATTTCCAACATCTCCAAGAAGTCTAAATACATAAGCTGTCAGCCGGGAGATTCTCCTGTTCGCTTGCATCCATCATTTCTGTATTGAGGCTTCAAAGATTCAGAAAAGGCTCGGAGCTCTTGTTCTGTAATGCCCCCGGTCTGGCATTAAAGCCGATAGAACAAATGCAGTGCTCCAGCAGACTTAGGATCAGCCAACCAGCCCACCAGCACTTCCTGCACAATTAAGATCTATACTCGACTAGGGAGCAAAGAGTGAAGGATGGGACTTCATCATGTGAAGGTTCGAGATACGCAGACTTATAGTACAATGAGAGAAACAATAGGAAGTGTGCTTGTAACGGCCATGCGTTCATTTCGGTTGATCAGTATCGGATCTTGTACTTGTATAACGAACCTTCTAGTTTCCTTAGCAGAGACCCCTTTGTAGGCAAGTATTTTGTGTTAAATATCGAAATCGGTCTCCTACTGTTCCACCCTAAACGATGAGCAGAGGTTTTCAGAATCCTTACCCACTTGTTACTCTATAGCGCATATTCACAACATCCTGTCGGTTCTCACTGCGAATTTCGTTGATGTGGTCTTGTTGGGTTTACTGTCTCTTGCTGTTCGTATTCTGTATTCTTGACACAAGGATAAAGGGCGAAGTCCGTGTTGTAATCAATTAGCAATAGATTCTCGAAACAAAACAAACACGTGACGTCGATATGACATGATATATCGCGTGACAGACTCCCTGTCTTCCCATTCTTGAAGAATGGGCAGGTTGACTAACGTCGATAACAAAACTGCACCACAGTCAGTCGCTTCAGTTTCTACAGCAGTGCAAGTCATGTGAACCCTTCCGCGTTTCAGACAAATGTGAAGTCGGATCTTTGGTTATCTTAGTGAAAACCTTCAGTATACGTAGCGTACTTCTTTGGCATCTTTCATAGTCCACGATCGGTCGCGCGACCGGTCGCGCGACTGGTCGCGNGACAAATGTGAAGTCGGATCTTTGGTTATCTTAGTGAAAACCTTCAGTATACGTAGCGTACTTCTTTGGCATCTTTCATAGTCCACGATCGGTCGCGCGACCAGTCGCTAGCGACCGGTCGCGCGATCGGTCGCGCGATTGATCGCGCGACCGGTCGTGGACTATGAAAGATGCCTTTGGGCTGCTTTGCTAAGACAATGCAAACACGTATTGTCTTTTACTTTTTTATGTCATTTTGTTAGACATGCTGTTTAGAGAAATTCGAAAAGGCTTTCAACAGAACGTTGTTGACGTCTCGAAAGCTTGGAGGGGATTTCTTCGAAAGAAATGACTCTTGTAGAGCCTTATCATGTGAACCAGCTAATCACTCCGGTTATCACTCCTGCCGACGATAAGGAAGCTGATCCTCCGCATGCGTCGTGCTTATATCTCATACCAACAGCTCTCAATATGATGGCCAAAATATCAAGTGCGATGATGATCATCCATCGAACTCTGCCAACAACAGTCGTCTATCGACGCTGGATTACATGAAAGGAGACGCATGAAAAAGCCCTTGGCTTTCCTGAAAAACAGAGGAGCTCGACTTCAATAGGCGCGCATGCACCTTCACTCGACTTTCGACCAGTAGCGCGACGCCATCTGGAGCGTTGAGTCAAAGTTTTTCGTTTGGTAGAGACGGAGTTCTGTTCGTAGACGACCTAGTAACTCAAGGTTCGATCCCCAAGTACCAGTGATCGTCTGTCTAACACGGGGGCGATCCAGTATTAATTTGGAGATGTTTTTAGGTTTAGGTATGGGCCTCTACCCCCATATTCCCACAAATTCCTTTTCCACTGTGGCAACTGCAGAGTTGCAAGAAGGATGGGAGAAAAATCACCAGGTTATCATTGATAAATTGCTTGAATTAATAAGGCCCTTCGATGCCAAGCCGTCGTTGGCACTTCGCTACTAAGTGTCGAATTGATAGATAGTTACGTTTTCATTACGTAATGATAGGGTAAGGGTAATTAAAACTTAAACTGATGAAAGTTTGTCTGATCGAGAAAGATTTGAAAATGTTCTTTTTATGGTGATTCGTTTCAAACAGTACTGTGTGTATGGCCGAGACGAGCGGATCTTCTATATCTGTATTGAAGTATACCTAGCATGTAGGAAATTTCGGAAAAACTCCGCAAATCGATCGTCGTCGATGTGGAGAGCAGTTTCGACATTAAATGCGGAATTCTTAGTTACTGTGGTGACACCTGCCAGGGAGACTACAGGGTGCGCCATAAATATGATAACAAAAGAATTGGACTATAGAAATCGCAGTTTTCATTAGTACATGGTGAATTCGTATGAGTTGTTTACTATGCATTGCAGCTACAAAACAAAAACACGATTATCTTGAATAACCGTCTTCTGTACTAATTATAGCTCGAAGACGCTTCGGTTATTCTTCGACGATGGCACGCAGAGCTTCTTGAGAAGCTCCAGCCTGGGCTTTTTTCGATGATGTCTTAGGAGCAACAACAGTGGTGTGTTATGAAGCCCAGGCTTTTCTCTCCAGTATAGGCTATATCCAGCAACCTATCCCATTGTGGTGCGTGAAATTCGTAGGACTGGAAGCTGGGATAAAGTCGCGAACGTTTCCTCAGCACCAGCTTTAATCTCTTCCAATTCGTGAGCAAGTGCATCGTAGTTTTCAAATCGTATCCCTGAAACTATCTTTGACTCTCAGCTGAAATTTCAGAAACACCTTAAAGAGCTTCGAATTAAGTTTTTTGCTTTTCTCGACCAAAATTTGCGATACCGCTGTGATGACAGAGATTTTAGAAAAAACCATCATGAAAGAGGGAAAATGGCTGCGAGACGCGATCTCTCTTTTCTCAGCGGCTTCAGCATTCGTTGTGTGAAATATACGTATATATTGGGACCTCAACATTTCTTCCACACTGAACACCCTTTAGTTAGAAAAAAGACTGTCGAAGAGTGTGCCGTGCGCTAGTCGCGCACGGCATTTGTTTTTTCTCTCCAACTTGTTTGCAAAAAGAAGCTTATGAGACTTTCAAATCTTATCTGGATACAATTGTTTACTCGGGGTAGACTCTTCTCATCTGTTTAGGACAGACAGGAGTAGGACATACAAACCGATCACCAGTCATTTTTCTCGTGTTTCTGCAGGTTTCGCAGCGTACTCCTTTCCAAGCAATTCTACCAGGAAAAGGGGTCGTACGTGAGACCGTTCTGAAGTTTATCGTTGACCTGCCTACGCTTGCGATTCAAGAGACTGTCATGTGGGAAATGTTGGAACGAGTAATGATCCCGGAAAAAGTGCACAAATACGGAACGGTTGGTGGATGTCTGCGAGGCTCCACCCTTTTCCGAATCTGACGAGCTGATAGCCCCAAAGTAGTTATGTGGGCTAAGGTATATCCTAAACATAAGGGAAGGTGCAGATTTGGAGAAACCCTCCAAACAAGGAAGTTACGGACGTCCAAAAAGTTGTTACCATATTTATGGCGCACCCTGTAGAAGGATCGCGCATGTATCCACGTACATCCACGTACTATAACCGAAATTGAAGGACCGAAATGAATCATAGCCGTCACAAATACTCCTGATACTTCTTTCCTTTCCTTTCTTTATAATACTATATAAGGTTGCAGACTGCGTCCTCAACGAGGACAAAAAAAGTGACTTTAACATCGGCTGGCCTCCCTAAGTCATGTGGGCCACATAAGCATTCATGAAGCGGAGTAGAGTGCGGCGTATTCTGAAACCGAATTGATCTTTTTCAGAAGACGTGACTCCTCCTTTTAAAAGAGAATAGTTTGTGTGTGACCATGTTACGGCAGTTGATTCATTAAAATAGAAACGTACTACAAAAAGACGATGCTCATTTTAAGAAAACTAGTTAAATAAACATTCAGCGCAAGCAGTCACAAACATTAGGAGCTGTTAATCATGCCTTTTTCCTTTCATAGAGATCGGCTAACTAGCGAGGACTCAATTATCGATCAGGGTCCAAACGCCTAAGTACATAGCTATGGTTCCTGCGGAAGCCCTTTGTCTCGCCCATGCTAATTAAGTGTACAGTTCGTAGTTTCAGAAGACTTGAAAGAAAGTTAAAAATGTGACAGTATTCCTTTTATTTACATTTCTAATAGTTAACGGAAGTCATTCAGGTGCGCAATTACGAAAGGAAAACCTCGTTGACTATAGCGAACCAGGGTCTAGGATCGCTGGATAATGTAAACATTGTTTTGGCCATTGACAATATAATCGGAGAGAAAACTTTCTTTTTTCAAGGTTCAACCGGGTGACTGCATCGTATGCTTTAGCCGAAAGGCTATCTTTAGTGTCGCCAAGAACCTCGAGAAGTTAGGTGTGAAACCCGCGGTGATCTATGGAGATCTACCTCCTGGCACGAAACTTGCTCAAGCCGCGAAGTTCAACGATCCGGATGATCCGTGCAATGTGTTGGTATGCACAGTAGATTAGAATCAGTAGTAGGAGGAGTGGCCAAAATTATGATGACACAGAGATAGCATCCCCAAAAACGAACAGGAGGCTCATAAAACAAAAATTTCAAAAAGGTGTTTGTCGCTAATCTCTTATCAAAATAGTACATTCGTACAGAGATCTGTTGCTTTATGCTTTACCCAATCCCAGAGACGACAATAGACGGCGTCGACGGTTGGCACGCAGCCAGAATCAACGGGTTGCTTCCGGCTTCTTGCAAGGCATTTTCGAGATTATCTCGGCGTTTGGGCCAACGCAAGCTCTTATTCCCAAGATTGACTTCACTGAAACATCTATGGGGTTCAGGCCAGGGTTCCTAAGTAGCCATTGATCGAAGGTTGAGAAGTTGAGGAACTCCTACGAAGTTCGTGGGCAATTTCTGATCTGTGATCAGGAATTCCATCCTGAGAGTATGCCCGTCTCGAATTGCCAAAGTGTCCTACTGCGCACGGCAAGGTCGAACTGGTCTCCTTAACTTTGTCTCCTTAAGCTACAAAGATCAGCGGTGTTCTGCTTCAACCGCTTTTTTTTCTTTCAAATTCGCATAAATCCTGTCGCTCTGCTTACTGAGCACTTTTTTCACGTGAATATCTTTTTGTCGGTGAACAGGGATTTACGATGATTTCATCGGAAAGGGCGTACACATAGTTTCGTGAGCCAATCCTTCTCTTTTCATTAGCCTGCTCACTGGGGAAATCACTTTCTGATTGTATTAGGACCTTTTTGTGCAGGTAGTGTTTCACGTTGCACAGAAACTTTCATGATATATCCATTCCCTCGGCTATATTTTGTGCGCAGAGTGATTTCACCGCTACGCAGACCTTCTTTCTGCTTTCTGAACACTCCCCCTAAAAGCAATCGCAAGCCTTTTAGGTTTATTTTTCTGATCTGCAGTTATTCACAACTCTTTAGTGCGACTTATGGATGAATATGAATAGCTGCCGTGTTACATTGAGTCGTCTGGAGATGTACCTGTCAAAAGTACTTGTAAATGCAAAGTGGTGATTGATTTACGAGGTAGTGACGCTTTCGTTATTTTTTGGATCTTCGAAAAGTAAAAGGCAAGGAACCGAATGAAGTGTTATAAACTAAGAAGGAAATTGCATGCTCACGCTGTCATCATAATTTTGGCCCAGAATTGCTGTAAGAATTCAACATTTAGTAATTCTGTCAGGTGGCCACAGACGCGATTGGAATGGGTCTCAATTTGAATATTCGCCGAATCATTCTATCATCGTGTACTAGACAAGGGGAACTACTGCCAAATTACTCAGCCCTTCAGATTGTGGGCAGGGCTGGACGGTGAGCGATTTATCTGAGTAGAGATAGTGTTGCACGTACCATACCGAGATCCCTTCGAAATTAATTGGAAAACTTGTTACTCATATTCCATCGGCTTGTTCAATTTCTCAGATCTCTGATCCTACGTGATCTGCTCGTTCCCCTTCTCTTTTCAAAAAAAACTTTCTGTCATCTGTATGCCTGTCATAAGCCCTTCTCTCTGGTAATGGAGATTCTTTTCTGCAATAACGCTTCGTGGAGGTCTGCCCTCAAATTACCGCGAACGGCCATTCGCCATAGGGTACTGCAGGGAAAGGGAAAGATGTTTGGTAGATTCGATGCACATAAGGCCTTCTGCCTTTGAACTTTACTTTACCTTCCGGCACTTTACCACATAAACTTTTATTTCGTTCCGATGAGTGCTGAAAATTCATCCTCCAGCCGCGCTAGAGAATGTACATGTTTAGATTACGAATACATATTTCTGGGATAAATGATGAGGAGTTTCATTTTGTTAAAAGCAGGAATTTCCGAGTAGTTGAAGTTTGAAATGTCACCGAATACACATCGCAACAAACAAATTATTGATTTTTTACGCATTTACCTGACAGCATAGAGGACCGGTATACAATCTACCCGATTTCAGGAATGTGTGAGGTTCATCGATGAAGGCTTAAGGACGCAAGCGAGAATAGAAAAAAGGCTACAGCTGCTTTATTCAATAGTATCAGGCTGTAGTAACTCCAGAGAATTTTCCTTTGCCTAAATGTTTGTTACCCGAGAAAGATCATGAGAAGAACAAGATCGCTTCAGCGCCAAAGTTGACGAATATTGTCTTTTTTGTCGGCTTGAGCGTCCATCAGGTTTCAGCGAAAGCAAATCCTCCTCTGTACTACACTGGTGCTGGCATTGAGCGCAAGTCTTGGACAAAATCTTAACCCAAAATGTTTGTTGTAATGTTTCCAATTCATCTTGCTCAAAAATAAAGGGATAAACAGGCCAAAATCTGAGCCGCTTCACCATCCGCGGGGAACAACTATTCGGAAACTTCCACTGGGAAATCGAGAGATTTCGAAAGCAAGCTCGGTTGTCCAAAACATCGTCTACCAATAGGTACAGAAAAAACTCACCATTCGGTATCAACAACATCGGCTTAACATCTTCGGTTAAAAACCAACTTGGCTCTCCCCTTCCATGGCTTTTTATCAGCCTTAAATGCAGGGTTCACGTTAAAAATGGTTGCTGAGTTCTCCCCTTAGGAATACTCACAACCAGTGGCCACCATCATCGTTTTTCATCTTTCTTTTTCTTGCTTTTATGTATATTAGACTTGTTTAATTAGAATGACTCCTATATTAGCAACGATCAATACCGCATTGGGATTGAAGGGAGCGGCCAGCCAATTCAAATAATCAAAGGACTCCCTACCTCACAAATTGCGCGCTCCAATCTTCCATCGCAATCCTGCGATACGCGGCGGGTGCGGCGTGCGCGACGCCGTCTTCGGGGAGATGTTCTCGGACCCCTCCGAGGGGTGTGGTGTTCACGCGTCAATATAATGAGGTCATCGGACAAAACGCGCTAAAACATCATACCTGCCATCATAACGGAAGAAATAAGAACTTATAAGTAGAATAAGTAAAGAAATGACCAACTATGCACGTTTACAGAAGGATTGCGTTTACTAAGATAAAAAAATTTCAAGGTTTTCTTATTTTGAACGTTTGGCAAGAAAATTGTTGACCTATGAAGTGAGTTCTCAATCTCGAAGGGACTTTTTGCCATAGTAAAGAGATTTGCTCTGTTCATGTTGAAGCCGTGGACTACTGCAAATTTTGTTGGTCCATCTAAACAGAAAAGTGCTGAAAAGGTGCTGCGTGCGCGAAGAGCTCTCATGGGGTCACGCGTGAATCGCGCGCCTCCCCCTCCCCCTCCGAGAGAGAACAGTGTAATGTATCCTTACTTTATATAACACGTCTGTCTGTCTGTCTTTCAGTCTGTATGTGTGTCAGGAAATTCGATAGTACCTGTAGAAACACTTGGAGGGGTCTGATCGTGTTTGGAATGGGTCGAGCATAGGGTAAGAACAACGGAGCACATGTGAGCTCAGTCCGTAGTGCCGAACAACTCCTGCGCATGACTCGTCCCCAAGGGGTTTCAAAAAATAGCTTAATTTGAACCCCCGTGATCAGCGAGGCTACTTTTTGAAATATATATATATACCTTTGCTCGAAAAGGTTCCGAAATGCAGAAAAAAAGTTATAAAGGTATTAGAAAAAATACTGTCAAATTTCCCCAAAAACTGCGAGGCTCGCACTAATCGGAGAGGGGCCATGATCGAGAAATCCATAGCCTAATTTAAAAGCGTTCCGGAGGGCGGGAAAAGTAATGAAAGACTATGCAGAGATTGTGGTGAAGCCCTTAAAGAGGGCAGAATCTGCGTAAAGTTGGGCGGTTCTACGATCAAAAATTCATGACCTCGGTCGAAAACGTTTCCGAGTGCGGAAAGTGTAAGGGTAAAAACCATCAGAGGGATGCGATGAATTCCTTAGTCTGGACGGGGTTCTCACCGAGGTGGGTGGGCTAAGGTCACAAATTTATAACTCTGTTCGAAAGCGTTCTAGAAAGAAAATCTTCGTAGAAAATGATTAGGGGCAGCTGAAAGAAGGGTGGTCAAACTTTCACCGTGGAAGAGGTCGCAGTGAGGCAGGCGGAGCCATTATTAAGCTCTGCTGAGAAACTAGAATCCGAAGAAAAATGTGTACCTGAGGCTGCTGAAGGCTGTCGAGCTACCAAACGGTCGGAGCTTGCACTGAGGCAGGCGGGGCCAAGATCGAAAACTCACAACACTATTTTGCGAATTCTTCCTTACCGTTTCGAAATCGTCTATGAAGTCATAATAACACTTTCTACCAATTAAATCTTCACCTTCACTTACTATGTACGAAGTACTCGTTTCTATCTGCCTCGAGATTTGATATGATCTTAGGAAGTTTGGTTAACTATGGGATGGCCGATACTTCGGGCAAGATCAACAGAGCACATAGGAGCTCAAGGAAGCCCTGTTCCGAGGGCGGAACGTCCAACGTTATATTCAGGTCAATGAATAAAACTTCATAATTTTGCTCCAAAATGCAAAGATACGAAAAATGGGCAAGATGGGCAAGTGTTAGGATTAAGTCAACAAATCAGGCGAAGGACATTCATCCGTGGTCGTACTCCGAATGACGCACGAACTTCTCGAGAGCACCACCAAAAAGTTTTTACGGGGCAGGATATCATCCGATCGAATACCTTTCTTCGCCTTATTGGTGGATTTCTTGTATAATGAGGAAATCCTGCCCACAAAGTTATTTTAGAGCTCACGAAGTATTCGTCTTGACGTTACCAAAGGTCAAATCGATGGACGTAGGACATAACATTATCTTGTATTGTCGCACTACTTAAATGTGTGTTGTTAGACCGTGGACGCAGTTGATTGTTCTGGAACCTACTCGAAACCGTGCTCGCTTCCATAGCCGTATTTAATCCAGTGTTCTGCCAAAACGCACAATCGGCGATGAAAATGGTTTCGGAAATTTCTCAGGATGAACTTGCGACCTCGGTTATAGCACATAGGACGACGTCCGGTCGAAAAACGGATCAAACAAGGCGTAGTAAGAGCCGCAAAACCGGCTTATTTTACGTACATGCCCTTAGGAACGAGTTTTGGAGGCATCTTTGAGGCTGTAGAGGTCGCACCTCACCGGGGCGCACACGTTGCGCGCATAGAGCTTGCTGTAGTTAGCTGAAGGCTATGACACCCACAAGTGGACACCTTGTCCGAATTCCCAATACATAAAACATTCTCGTAACAACATTTGTCGTCACATTCGCGGCCAATTTTTAATTTTCCTACCCAGTTTCAGCCTCACGTTTCTTTAAACGCGTCCTCTTTTGCGTTTTCTTCTCCTCTGCCTTTTCCACTATTCTTGACTATGTTCTCTATTATTCGTCTAAAACAAGATGCTCCGCAATGCGTGCGTTTCACCCCCGACAGTATCAAGGTTTTGAAGTCGAGTGCAGCACAATTTGCGCTTGGAGGGATCAAGGCATAATGCACTTGTCTCGCAGACATCTCTCTCTAGAAAAAAAACACAGAATCGAAATCTTTGTTATACATGGTGTAGTATAAAGGCAATTAGGAGACAAAACGTGAGATCCCTCAGCTTCCTTCAAAGATATTTGCAGACGACATTGCCCCTATACGGACAGGACGCCCGCGTAGCTAAGCGCGAACTGCGAGAGGAGAATGCTAAGAGCAACTTTGAACAGTACCTTGTCTCTGAACCAAGTTTGATCGTAGTTGGGTCTCTCGGTGTCGAAAACTACTGGAGAGCCATGAGAAGGAGCAGCAACACTGTCAGAGCAGCAATGAGGAGGGCTTCGAGGCCTACTGACCACCACAGGAAAGCAAGACTTGACTTGCGAAGTTGAATTTCAGAAGAGATTAGGCGAAGGTCAGCCTGTATTGCCGATCAGCCATACAATTATATATTCTCGGCCAGGTCGTATTTTCCGACGAAAAGAAGTTTAATTTGAATGGCCTCAATACAACTCCACTGGTGTGCAAAACTTACTGACGAAAGCAACTTTAAATTACTGTACCTCTGCCAGACGACAGAGCTCGAAGAAATTTATGCCGTAGCAATAGGGGATCATTACGGTATTGCACAGGAAGCAATTGGCAGAAAATCGAAATAGTACCAGCGAATAAGACATTTTTATTGAAAGGTACCGATTACACATAATTCCTCACAACTTCTCCTAGTACTTCAAAAGAAGTGACGCCGTTCCTAATAAGATGTGTGATCACCACGGACAGCACTAAATGCTCTGCAGCGCGGTCCCATACTTTCCACGAGGTTGGAAATGAGTTATTGTCCTAGGGCATTCCACTCCTCTATCAGCGCGATTGACAAATTGCTGGATGGTCAGTGGTGCATTTCGACATGCTGCAATGCCTCTACCCATTGCATCCTGCACGTGCTGGATGGGATGCAGGTCGGGGGAACAGGCAGGCCACTCCAATTGCTGGATAACCTCTTGTGTCAGAAGCTCTTCCACCTAAGCTGTTCGATGCGGTCGCGCATTGTTATCCATAAAAAGGAATTCAGGGCTCACTACGGCCATGAAAAGATACACATTAAGGAGGGGTTCCTTTTCACAGTATTGCCGACTGTTAAGGGTCCCACGCTCAAAAATCTGGAGGTCAGTACGGTTACGAAGAATGATGCCTCCCCATACCATAACACCTCGACCACTGAAACGATCAAGTTCCACAACGTTTCTGAGAGATGTGCGTGCCCCCACCTCTGGCCATGAGGGTTGCGTTCAGAATCACTACTCAGAATGAATCTGCTCCCATCCGAAAGAAGCAAACGACCCAGTTCCCATCGGTCCATTCGCTATGCTTCTGGCACCCTCCTAAACGGTCTCGCCGATTCGCGAGAGTCAAAGGAACAACCGTGCAGTCGTTGTGCCACTGTAGTGCGTGGAATGTCTTGCTTTGAAATTCTGTTAGATGAAATTGCAATCAAAGAAGCTGGCTGACCTGGATCTCTTCTTGCCTGCTGCTCATTGTAGCGGTAATACCTAAGTGTAGTTGTTCTTGGTCAACCACCTCCTCTCCTTCGTGCAGCAGTATCAGAGTTCGGAATGCTCTCCGTGCACGTGAAACAACGCTGTGAGCGATACCAGGTGCGGCACTCGTCATGATTTGACCTTTTTCGAGTTTCTGGATAATCCTTCCTCGTGCCAGGTCATCTAGACGATGTCTGCAGGATATGATGTGTAGAAGGATAACACCACAGTACTTGATAGTTACTGGCTGATTGACAAAAGAATTTTTTTCGTACCTATCAGCTGCCTCGATTTGTGCGGATAGCCATACTTCGCGCTTTCGTGCTACCAGTGAGCTACGCACGCTTATGCGTGCACCACATGTCCACAACCGCTCATCTACGATCTTACTCGAGAAGAGCAGTAAAACATTTTCATGTTCCGTATAAGCGACTCTGCTTCACCCAAAATCCCCCTTAAGTTTCATTTCTGGAAATCGCGCATTAGAATTAAGCACTCAGGAGCAGAATACCCTTTCAAGAGCGTGGCTGTCATTACATTTATTTTGAAAATTTCGTTTTAGTTCGAATGTAGGAAATTGCGATCGCTGCGGAGGTGCAGAAAAGCACTGACTTGTACATCCCCACCGCAAGTCATTGCATAGGCCACATACGCATTCAATTCGCCACTACGATTCTCAATGAAAGTCGAATGCGCGGGATCCTTCCGACGGGATTGATTAATGCCCCGAAACATTATTTGATTGCGCATCAGAGAAGTAATGGAAAACAGTCAGCAGAGTGTTTGATGATGCCTGATATCAACAGGTGCTAATGTAAAACTTTCCGACCCTACATTGTCTCTTCTCTAAAAAACTGATTAGCCTGTGATCTACTTCCCCACTGCGCTCTTGTGATCTTCATGCCTTTGATCGTGCCTACGTGACTTTTGGGAGGGCATACAAACGGACACACAAAGTTAGCGCTTTATATATAAAGAGGATTCCTCCATTAAAGTCCGGCTTCCCGTGCATATCCGTCATAGGTCTGGCAATATACTCCTACACTTTCGTTTATTTCCATCCAGTCAATGTTTTATGTTACATTATCCATCCCATCCCTAAGTTTTGCACACCAGTGTACTACTGCCGTGATTTACGAAAAGAGTTGATTAACTCTAGCCGCCGCATCCATGGAGGAGGAAGTGCCGTGGTGCGGGGTGCCTCCGCAATAACGTCGTGCTGGAGCTTGCTTTCGTAACTTCATAATGGACTCCAGGGACTACCAGGAAGTCTTTCAATGGCACCTGGTGCCATTTCTTAGCCAGCGACGTGATCTAAACTAGGTTTCTAACTGGGCGATGTTGCTATAAACGTTAGTCGTCCCACGAAAGGCTGGTTCCATTCCAAAAATATCGAATTCTTGCATAACCAGCTTGGAGCTCCGATCTTAACCAAATGGAATCCGTGGGGCATCAATGTAAGAAAGATTTATGCAAACAACCGTCAGTTCCAGGCGACAGAAATACTGTTGCTGGAAGACTCAAAATTTGAGCAGGGGTTCGCTCATAGCGGCGCGCAGCATGTCGGTGTGTGTATGTTTGCCGGGAATCATTAGCTCCGGTTGTCTTGGAACAGGGCTTTTTGTTTTGGGAGACTGCAGGCAGCGGGTCAACTTTAACATAAGAAGAGGAGAGGCCTGCGTCATCCGGGCGAACCGAATGGTTGTATATAAGAAAGCTAAGGTAAAAGTCGATTCAGCCAAAGTTCGTATGAGAGGGTTGTTAATGTGAGTGAGGCTGAAAGCAGTGCAAAAAATTGTCCGCTCGGCTGCTTCTAAAAATGCAAAACCTGGCAGTGCCCATATACTAATGAAACCTAGTGTATTTTGAGCACGTGGAAATGCACATCTCTGGCCTTTCAGAAGTGCTGAGTTGTATGAGCCACTAACTAAAGTACAAGACTGCTTCTATTTCTTGTTTGTCTGGGTTTTTTTTAGCTATCAAAGCATTCGTTAGTTTTGACTTGATGTTTTGTTTGCTGCCGTTATTCCGCCGCAGTACGTTTTACTTAGGTAGTGTAAGGGATAGAGCGCAGTGCCCGGAAAACACAAGTACGGGTTCAAGTCCCGTCCTAGACTGAAGTTTTGTCCATAAATCGTCAACCTTGTGAGACATTCGCAACGCGTAATGCGGCGAAATAACAGTAGTTAACAAAATATCAAGTCAAAACAAGTTGTATCAAGTAAAGCTTACAGCTTATCGGTTCTGTGCTGATACTGCCTGACCGGCTCAACACGTTGAACGTGTGAGCGCTGACACGCTTAGCATATAAGTCGTTAGGAAGGCGACGGCAAGTGGGGTCTTGGCAGTAAAAGGGATAGAGCACGGTGCCCGGAAAGCGCAAGTACGGGTTCAAGTTTCGTCCGAGATTGAAGTTTTGTCCATGAATCGCTGAGGCATTCGTTAGTGTTTGATTGAAGTTGTCCATGTTTTCCAGCGTATTTTGAATGGTTGTTGTACAATCACTCAGTCAAATTCCGTGATTGTACAATAGCAAAATTTTGCCATCCCAACTAACCACAAGTCACGATTTATATCTCGGAGGAAGGCTCACTTATCTTAATAGAATGACTCTCAACGCTGGGAGAATGGAGAATCACAAGTGTATGACACTCCGCCCAAGAGTATCTTCCACCAGTGGAGAAGTGTTTTTATTCACTCTTTTTTTTTCGTCATTTTTAGGGGCAAAAGCTTCTCTTGTTTGAAAAGATGCGGGCCTAATGTCATCGTAAATAACTCCTTGACTGAAAAGTGATTGAAATAGTGGGACGAACCTGTAATTTTATGGATAACCCTCTGTAATCTCTGACACCCAAATTCATTATCGAGATCTTAAAACAGTCGTAGACCTTTTCAAGGGTTACTGAGGAGTCATAATACTGCCATATATTTGTTACTTAATTTACCTTTTCCTTCCACATGTTTTCATTTCGGCTCAATTATTTTAGACCCCACATTCGTAATATGTTATTTCCTTACACCTTCCTTTCACTTTTCATCTTTAGTTGTACGGTAGCAATTTATGTTATGTTCTATTAAGATTTGGAACGACTTTCGCTGATGGCATGGCCACTACCCTTCGCAATGAGGACATTGGAACACTTCGTGAGATATTAAGTCAGCCAGTGGGTTAAGTTGAGATACAAACAGCATTCGGTGAACAGTGTGATTTCCTTACACCCATTCTCAGGTTGAACCCATTGAAAAGGTAGGGATTGCTCCAACTTTTGAACAAATCGAAACGTTTTCATTCCATCTCCCGCAAGCTTCCTTTGTTCACCTGCTGGATTTATTTGTCTCAGGTGAGAACCATTCCTTAGAACAGTACTCAACTTTGAAGGTTTTTTTTAACGGAAAGGATTATCGCGGCGTTGAAGAATTCATTCATGCTACTGTTCTCTCTTTTGCGCTGAGCCTATATAAGTAGCTTAAATAAGCTACTCCGTACAACTGCTTTTTTCCTAGTTTGCTCCATATCCGACCAATTCTTTATCTGCACTGTGGAGCAAATGAGGTCTCTTGCGGATCTCATTGATTACATACCTCTTCCCCTCAAGGTATGTTTCTGCGGTGAAATTGTGAAAATAGGGAGATTCGTTCTTTTGCTATTTTCCAGGTTCGGTACACCTTCTGCATTTCACCAATAAATGTCGAAAGCAAACTGACAGCAGCCTCGTTCGTTAAAATGGTGCGAAGGTGAACATTAGAATTCTCATTGTATCAGTATTATTGTCACATATGTAAGAATATCAGGTGACATCATCACATTCTCTCAACAGGTTTTCGTCTGGTCAATGTTTAACTTACGATTGGATGATGGACATGTTGAATTGGGATTCTCTAAGTCAGCCTGAAAATCTTCAACAGTTAGAACATATGGAAAAGGTTTTCCTTCTCTGTTGTATGTTTGTAAATGGGACTCGAGAGGTATTCCTCTCTACAGTTTGGTGTCAGAGCATTTTCACAACGTTCTTCCAGCGATAGAACATGTATATGAAAATCAAATTGTACACTTTCTATGAAATTTCTTTTAAGGTGTACGAAGTGCTTGATACATATCTTTGGCTCTCGTTGCGATTTCCTGATATGCTTCCCGACGAGGCGTCGGTGCGCGAAGCCTGTCGAAAACTAGACGCTATGCTACAGATTTCTATCGAAAATATTGTTGAACTTTTAGAAAACTCGGCTATGGGAGACGCTCGAAAGGTATTATTTGCCATTTTTTGCCTTCTCCATTTTTTATAGAATTGTATTTGATGGAGAAGTTTTGAAAGGGATCGCTCTTGAAAAAAATGCGTGAACGAGCAAAAACTTTGCGAGAGAAGAAGGAGTTTGAGGAAGCAGAAAACGAGGATCTGCGGTTGCCTGAAAAGAGAAAAGGCCTGAGGAAGTAGGTCGTTGAATTCAGATTCTACAATTCTGTGATGTTCAATCACTTGTTCAGGTCTGTGTTGCAGTCAGTATTATCACGTACTGATCTTTCACCTGAAGAGCTAAAGCAGCTGAAAGAGGAGTTGAACGAACAGAACAGTTTGAGTGACTAACCACGACTGTTTTGCACAACGTGTTTTATTTGATTTGCAAAGACTGTGTACAGTTAATTTGATCGCATGATGTGTGTGGGGCAATTCATCAGTGAAGGTACTGAACTTTAACTTGGCAGTTTGTTAATTTTTTGTTCCCTTGTAATCTAGGCAGTTATATTAGCAGAAAGGTAGCGGTAATCCTCATTAGTAAAAAAACGTGTTTAATTGCTCAATTCTCCTTTGATTTCGAGATTGTCCGTTTCTCATATTTTATTCTGTGTTTCACTGATTTGCGACACTTTTCATGTGATGAGAGTAGCCGGAGAAACAAAATTATCCGATGCCACACTTGACCATCGCACCTAGTCAAATCAGTTCGAAAGAATGCGTCTACTCTACTTTTTTGACTTGTTTGAATATAGCTAGTGTACAAGCTCAATAGAACAGTCATTTAATGTGTTATTTGAATTGTGCAACTTACCAACAAGTGTTTTGAGTTTCCGTTGTACAATTCTATACAACTCAAAAATAGGTTCATGGTTATATGAAAAACAGTTCATATAGCTGAGCCCATTTTGAGCACCGATTTGCTCGGCACTGACTTTTACTTTAGGCAGGAGAACTACTGAAGTAGAGAGCAGGAGTTTCTCCCCCGGATTGGTACATCTGGTATTATTTGTTGTTGTTCAGTTAATTGTTCTGTCGATCGTTGTTATACAGAATTGTAACGTTTGAATTTCGCACAATTCTTAATGAAATTTTTCATCACATTTCCTGACTGATGGTAGTGGTTATTATGGCCAGTTCATTTGCTTGTTTTTTACTGCTTAGTACTCTGTAGATGGTTGATCTTCCATAAAGTGAGCCACCCTTTCAATCACTTCCAATCGACGTTGTTTCGTGATGTTGACTGAACCTTAGTGTCAAGCGATTCCCTTGAAAGATGAATATAACCCGTATAACTTTGTGAACCGATTGACCTACATAGGCAAAAGCCATTGGGTCTGCCAGCCAATTTAACCTTTCGTTTTTTTTTCTTTTTTGAATACCTCTTCATCTACATTTCGTTTTAGTTTTTAGTTGTAATCTATGCGCACGTTCAAAAATTTCAACAACTTCATCCAAAAAGGAAATTTGATGAAATGGTTACACTAAGGTATCTGTACTGCTAGTATTACTAATTGATGAACTGCGTTTCGCGGCTTAAAGGCATATTCCACGATAATTTTGAGGTGCACTTTCAGTCAAAGAGGTAAAGTTTGGGTTGGAAATAGTTCAACGGTAGTGAAAAAAGCAACTAAATCCGCCGATTTTGAGAAAATTAAGGCTGCCAAAAAAGTGAAAATGGAGCTCAGACGAGATTACCCTGACGGAAATAAGGTGAGGAGCGCCAGGGTGGAAGAGATGGTTATGGTTAATCCGATGCCCTGATAACGAATATGACCTTCATTTTTGGTGCTATCGCCATTTGGCACCAAGGGTGTTTTCACCAAATTTGCTGAAAACTTGAGTTTAGGGGTTATGCGGGGTCCTGATAACGAATATAACATTCACTTTGGCGCTGGCGCCATTTGGCTCCAATTGGCGCCAATTTGGCGCCAAATTGGTGCCAATTGGAGCCAAATGGCGCCGACGCCAAAAATGAAGGTCATATTCGTTATCAGGGCATCGGATTACCCCTATAGGCGAAGTTTCATCGAAAATAAAAATTTTGAGTTTTTGGGGGTGTAATAGTAGAATAGTACCGAATTGAACATGCATTTAGCTCACGCACCCTGTAGCTCCTCGATTAAATTTCAGAACGGTAGGAGCTCCGGGATGGGTGAAACGACTATTTGGAGCGAAAAGCTGGGATGGGGTAAGAATTGTGCATCCGTGTGGCTCACCCACACCGGAGCCCCTTCCCTGACTTGAGAAGGGGAGGATACCATCTTTGCACTACTGCGCACTCTGCCAACCGGTGTTAGAGACACAGAGCAGAAAAGGGCGCTGCCCCCCCCCCCCCCTCCCAACTACATTTTCACCCAGTCGACATTTCAGTTGTTGCAATTGCGCAAAGAGCTGACTATATCAAGCCAGAACTGCACATAAGTGCCCTCCACCGTCGGTATGGGTCACATGAGGTTGTTTGAACTTTCTAGATGGGTTCCCTCGTGACTAATGCATCCCCTTCAGTGCCGGTGTAGCTCGTCCGAGGATACACGCGGTACATTCTTTAGTGAGCTCGCGCGACTGTCGCCTAAACGTACACCCTGAAGAAACGCCGGCCGAGTTTTTTTGGCAAGGTGCCCACTGTTTGAATCTAGTATATATAATTTATCCTGATAACATTAATAATAGACCAGCAGGCAACAATAGGAATCCGCAAATTACATGATAACAAACAATCATACAACCTAATAATTACATAGAACCAAACAGAATAAGATCAAGGAAGATATATCCGTGGTGTCCAGGGCTTCGCCCCCATAGAGATAGAAAGTTTGGGGCTGCCGTCCTCGATGGCGAGCTCCAGTCGACTCCCTGTTGAAGTTCTTCTCGGTCGCCGCTCCGCCCTGAAATTCGATGATGAGTCATCTTGTAACATCATCAGCTGATAGTCGCGCTTGCACGGCGCGGCTCACACCACCCAAAGTCCTACCCGGACTTCAAGAATGTGCATCGAAAAAAGAGAAGAAGGAAGTTTCTCACCGGAAGTTAGAGGGGGCGCCGTAGATATTGGGATAGGGCATCTGCTGGGACGACCGCTCCGATGGAATCCGCCCATTGCAAAAGTGTGTTCCATGTAGGAACCTTCCTTAATGATCCGGCATGGCCAAATATGATCTGACCATGCCTGCAGCGAGAGACAGCTACGTTGAGGTGGCGGTAATCGTTGAGGAACTCGGCGGTCGCTGGAGAGAAATCGTTTTTGGTAGTAAGCAAAATGACTACCTCCTTCTCTCTCCCTTGGACGGAGTCGACCGCCGTCAGTTCCACGTTCAGGCTGTCCAGGTTGGGCTTAATTTGTCGATATTGTTCCCTATGAAATGTGATGACGCAGATATAACGGAGTGGGACTCCCAGGTGGATGAGGTGCGCAAGGAGCTGCTGACAAGATTGGGCCTCGCTCTCATTATAATACGACTTACTGGGCGCCTGGAATATTAGGTGCAGGGAAACGCATGGTGGTCAAAAGGATCTGGCGAGACTGTGCTGGAGTACCACTAACGAGTTGACCGGCATAAGCTAAGTAATCATGTGCGGGATCGCCGCACGGTTGATCTCCAAATATAGTGCGCACACCAAGAATAAATATCAGTTTTATCATATAGTGCTCGAGTTAAATGGAGATCAGTGCAGTCGCTGACGTTGTTGGAGATCGGCTGGATAGAGGCATGTCAGTAGGCGGAAGGTATCGGGCCCAGAGGCGACAGACAGGATGGGCAGGAACAGCGGGTGTGCGGCTTAATCGTGGGGCGCAGATGCTGACGACTGTACTGAGTGCTCCACAGGAGGTAACGGCTGACCTTAAGTATGCGTGATGAGATGAGTCATCAATACCGTAACATAACATTATAGGGCTACGCTATGTTGCAATGAAAAGGGCAGGCGGCTCCCTTGACCCACACTCACGCTATTGGCCCGTTATCGACACATTCGCCCACACTTGCTAATCTACCGCAATGCTCACGGCTCTCGCGACTCTTACACCTCCCCTTCCTAAAAAAAAAGTCCGTCCTCGGACTTAGACGGGGAGCGGAAAAGGGAAAAAAGAAAATAACCCACCTTAGATGGTCGAGGTATTGCTAGGGGTTTTAGGGGAAGGCTAGCAACCGTGGTGACGGCCCCACGGTTGCTAGCCCAATGGAGGATGTCATGCCAGGGGACAAGCCTGTTAGAGACTTCTCGTGACCTAATGCGAATTGGCCGTGGCGGCATCTGGAGATCGACATTAAGGCGATGTGGATCGTTCAAGAACTCTCCGCGTGCGGGGTCGAATCCGGTACGCGTCGTCAGGAGTATCACTATGTCTTTCTCGCGGCCTTGTACAGAATCGACCGTATGAAGATCGACGGCTAATAGCTGAGCTGCCAATTGGTTAGAGGTGACGAGACCGGATTCTGCCGAACGAGTGACACGACGCACCAGAGCTATTGCATAGCCTTGATCGGTTTGGGTCAATTGCATGCTACAATCGAGAAGGGTAGGGCTTTGAACTGACCAGGACAGGGCGAATTCCCTGGACTCACTTAACCACACGTTACCCATAAGGAAGCCTTCATTTTTGCTACAGAGATGAAGCGGCATTCCTCTTCCTTATTTGGTGTCCAAATGACAATCGACCCGTCCGGAAGAACGCACTCGCTGTCCATGTATAGACAGGCGCGCATGTCCCCCGCAGGTGATTGTGGGGCCTCTTTTCCGTGCCGGGCGTGGACCTGGGTAGCGATGAGGTAGCAATTATAAACTTTCGTCTGCGTAGCGCAACATCCGAAAGGGGCTGAGGGGACTCGAATGAGAGATTATTAGTGGTTTTCCAAATGTTCCCATAGAAGGAAAGCTCGCCGTGTGCGCATCGCTTATGACGAGACATTAGTTTACATTCTTCAGCTGATACAGACAGATGTAACTCAGGATGATTCTCGAAATGGGCTCCGAAGAGGTTGACAGAGTATGATACAGAGTGACGAATCACTTTAGATAGGTAAGCAGAAGTGGAATAGTGTTTGGTATTGGGTCGGAAGACGTGGATGGTGAGTGGACGAGGATGCTCAGAAGAATTTGGAAAGAGAGATGAGCAGTTGTAAGCGCTCGGCACAAAAAACAAGTTGGTAGGATTTTCAGTTGGACACAGCCAAGCGTCCACTGATGCAGATGAGGGTAGGATGCAAACTAAAGCTAGAGTACATATGATTAGAGTACGAATGTCCGGAGAAGAGAGATTGTGAGGTGAAGCAGAAGAATCCTTACTGACAAACGCGGAAAGTGCTAGCTCTCTCTTGCTACGCTTGATCAAAGCGGCAATTCTGGATTTG